ATCATATTGGAATTGGAATATGTGTCGCAAACGAGAAAGATGAAGTTCCAATCTGTACCGAATCTGGGATGAATCTAATTCAGGATTTATTTAATTAAGTGTGACTGTAGGAGTATTATCGGATCACGTATACGCTTTTAATACAAAATAATAGAATATCTTGAAATATCACATTCCTCGTTTCAAACGACCAGTCCTTTTTTAGCTGGAACCATCATCGCCGTTCACACCGTTTCTCTTTTAAGCTATCTATTACTACGACACTTCTAGAATATTTTTAAACATTAAAAATAAATGCGCGGAAAATGTTTCCAATAGACTTTTTTTCTTTCACATTCAAAGCACGTTCATAAAATATAAAGAATTTAACGAGACATTTTTAAACGTAAAGGAGCGTAAAATAAATCGTTTACTTTGTTCCCTAATGTTCTTCTAATAAATATAACAATTAATGTGTAGTTGCATAATTTTATAAATATAAACGATAATTATGATATAACACACGCCCATAAAATTAAATTAATTGCACACGAGTTACTTAACTACGATAAAAAAGACACTTTTAATATTTTAATTCTAATTTTACTTTAAATACAAACAGTGTAAGAGAAAGTGGAGCGTTGAAATAAATAAATACATTATCGAGGATTTGGAAATAAAAATGGGTTTTATATTATCTGAAATATATCTGGGATATATTGTTAATCGAAGTACAAACAAATTTTTAATACGAACATATTTCAAAACGAAGCGTTCTGTGTCTGTAAAAGAACTTATCTCTTTCTATATAAATAGAATATCACCACCTCACGTTTTTTCGAAGTTCTAAGATTCTTTGACAAACTGAAAGGAATCTTATTTCCTTGAAAAAAAAAATCTTAGAATATTACAGGATTATAGGATTAACAATCTGAGAAAGAAGCTTTACATTTATATTATTCGGCCAGTCGAAGGTTTCACTGTTTCGAGAACGCGTCATCCGAATACCTGAGCCGTGAAAAGACTCGGGAACGTTTAACGGTAGTTTATACGCTACGGGAAAATCGATCGGTTTCGATAATACTACACCGCTACACAGCAAAAATATGCACATTGTTGCCTATGGTCGATGAAGAACCGATTTGTAAAGATCCTGCGGGGCATTCAATGGCTTTAATATCCTCCGCGTTGACAAATGAGGGTTTCGCACGGCAGGACGTCCGATGGCCCGATGCCACACGACGAATTATCTCACCTCCTCTTTCGCGCCAGTGCTTCCAGGCGAATACTGTGTAGATAATAATGAGTACGATGACAAAGCATGACCGGCTACCTGCTTCATAAGCTTTATTTGTATGATAGAGTCTATTTCACGATCTAATATCGACGCGTATATGTAACATATTGTTGCCTGCATGGTACAAATCTTACAAACAAAAGGATCTCGAGGAACGCGCGGATAACTTTATAAATATATATTCAACGAGGAATATCTTTGTTCAATGTCAACATAGACATCAGTTATGGAAGTATCTTTTCTTGCAAATCAGACTTATTGCGTCTTAGATTTAAATCGCTATTCACATAAAATATTTATATGTACGCTATTGACAAAATAACTATTAACGAAACACAATGAAAATAGTAATTGGATGAAATTATACAAAAAGATTCATGTTTTTTTCATTGAGGATTTTATGATTTACAAAGAGATTCGTATGATATTAAATGATCTTCTAGGTGCGCATTTCTAAAATTTCCAAATTGCATAAAAAAATATTTTATAGATAATCTAATTTGAGATCAGGCACTTTGTGCTTAAATTTATGTAGAAAAAATTTAATCAGCATATTCCATAATTTTTATCATGTGATAAACGTATAATCTCTTATAAAAGAAATTATTGAACGAGTCTATTTTGTGTACCCTCGTCTTGCTGCGTTACGCGCAACTTGTATCGTATCTCTTATCGTAATACCGGACGGCGCCAGTATTAACAGTATAATGTGAAAATAGTATCTCGGAAACTGAAAGTCACGGCAAAGCATTGAAACATAGAATGTTTTATATTATAAAATTCAAGCGGTTTTAATGTATTAATCTAAGATTCGAAGATTTTGCGCCTTGCCCTTCGGCCTTTATAACAGTCGATGTTGATGCCAGATCTTTCTGGAGACAAAAAAAGTTTTCGCCTATAAACGGATTTTTATGCGAATTATGAGAAGCATAAAAATTATACTCTTTCTAATAGCGTTTTCGACTGGAGTGAGTTTGAGTTGGATCAAATGCTATAATTTAATGTGACATTTTTCTGTTATCTCGTTGCGTTATCTCTACATGTAACGAAAATGATGTTATAAGGAGTTTCGAGGTGTATGTATATACCACGCACAGACAATTGCAAAGCATATTACGACGATCAAACTCCGCCCTTTGCGAAAACGCCGCCTTCGACATGCGCCGGAGGGTCGTTTGCGGTTGCACCGTTTCTTACCCTTAATCTGTCGTGTTTAATCTGTCCGAAGTAGTAACATGTTACGCGTGTGAAGAACCGTGCAATTCGAACTCATTTATTTGTTCCTAAACTCAATTGCTCGTGCAACTTGACAAGTTATTGATAACAGCAAATTATCGTAATGTCCGGTAAGTGTAGAATATTTATTTTTGAGTTACATTATTTATTATTGAGTTGTTGTACAGATAAAAAATTACAACAGCATGCAAGAATACGTGGAAATGGATAATAAGATAATAAATTTATCTTTAAGAAATATCTTTGTTTTTTGAAAACTATAACATATTAAAAAAAAACATTCCTTGTTTCATTAGTTATTAAAGTGATACCAGAGATTTTCAATAAAATCGTAATGTGTAAATTCGTTACAAAAGTACTGTATTTGAAAGCATTATTATAAACATCAAAATTTGTTCTCTTCTCAAAAAATTACAAGCATATACTAGAAGTCTAATATCATATAATTATAATGTAATTAATTGCGTAAATATGTTAATAGTATGGAACGTAACACAGAATGCACCCTTGGACTTGAGTAGACATGGGACTGCATGGAAAACTGATGTTATTAGTACTTTGAAATTTCAACGACGTCTTCCCTGTCAAACTTGTGGTAAAAGTTTTGACAGACCTTCCCTTTTAAAAAGACACCTGCGAACGCACACAGGTAAATTTGAGAAAAATATGTAAAGAATTTATGGATCTTTTCCTTTATGAATTCTTCCTTTTATGAATTATCGGGATTAAAAATCCATATGAGCTTTACTCCCTTTGATTTACATTTCTTTCTTTCTCTAAAGTCTCAAAATTGATCATTATTAATTATAAATAAAATTAAAATAACGCAATTTTTCAATTAAAAAATAAATATTATACATTATACATATAATACATATTTTTTAGAAACATTAAATAAGGCATTAAAAAAATTCAAACTATAATGGGATAATCACGTCTTATATACAACATTTCTTTAGAATCCTGAATAATACACCATTATTTATGATAAACAACACTAAATGTCATAATTATTATTAATTAATAGTTAATAAAATGTGAAACAAGATTTATTTCTAAAATTTAAAAAGTTTTTTAAAAAGTTTAAAAAGATTTTTAAAAAGTTTTGATGTAAAATATCATTGTGCAAAAACTTGTTTGGAGCTTAAACAAAGCTTGCTCTATGAGGAAGCAATAAATTTAGATTTCGTGCAGCGGAAAAAATTGTCTGAAAAGAAATTTCTCTATAATTCTTTTTACAATTTTAGTCTATTTAGTCTATTATGAATTATTTTACATTTCGAATTTTTAATATTATGAACATATTAGTATATCTATGCTGGAAATTATCTATACATCTAACATATGAGATGATGTAAACACAGAAAAGATTCGCAGGTAACATTACAGTTTATATTTTTTAAAAACTATTCTCAGGCGAAAAGCCACATGGTTGCGCAATATGTGGGAAGATGTTTAGCACGAGCAGCTCATTGAATACTCACGTTAGGATTCATACTGGTGAACGTCCTCATGAATGTCCAATGTGCGGAAAGCGTTTTACAGCATCGTCGAATTTGTATTACCACCGCATGACGCATTATAAGGTATTTTTTTTAGTTTAATAAGCAGTACGACTTGGAGTATGACAAGGCAGTTCAATATAGAATAAATCAAGTTGTAAGAATCATCGTTCCCTAGAGTAAAAGAGAAAGATGATTCTAATTATCAGATGTTTATACGGTAACTGTCAATAGAAATTATACGTAAAAAAATACACTGCAAAAAGTGCATATGCTAGTAATGTGTATCTATAATATAGGCTGCGGTCCACTTGACGCTACAAATGCTTCGAAGCATTCCTCTTCTCTTTTCTTTCAATGAAAAAAGAAGGAGAAGAAGCTCCAAAGCATTTGTAGCGTCAAATGGACCGCAGCCATATACGTATATAAATTTAAAATGCAGGAAAAACCACATAAGTGTGATGAATGTGGACGATCCTTTCCAACTCCCGGTGATTTAAGGGCTCATGGATATTCTCACACCGGTAATTGGCCCTTACGTTGTCCCGTCTGTAACAGGGGATTTTGCAAACTTGGCGCCTTACACCATCACATGAAATCACATGGTAATAATAATACTTTAGTGATAAAAAATAGAAACTTTATCTTGCTTTATTTATTGTCCATTATACTTATTATACCGAGTGGTTATTAATGCTCTAAATATATTAATCATTGCTTTCTTATTTGATAATTCTAATTAATAAATCAATCGAGCTAATCAACAATACGTTAGTAAAATCATTGAAGAAACGTTTTCAAACTTCAAAGATTTTAAGTTCGATTTTGAGAAATTAATCTTTTATCATTATTCTCTAACTATGCAAAACACAAAAGATATTTGAAATAATGTTATCAATTATAAGATACGAAAGAGACTGAAAAATTCTTCTTTATAGGTGATCGTTCTTATTATGGTTTCTATAATCAGAAGCCTCCCGTCATCAATAATTTACAAATTCCTGAGGGTTTACAACAGCATTCGCATGTGTCAAATAATAATCCAGCTGATTATATGAGTATACACAATGGCATTTCAAGCGTAGAGATTATCAAGTTTGAAGGCTTCAATTGTATGCAATTACCTACGACATATCCATGGCCTTCTCTCTCTTGGATGCCGTTACAATTCAAAAATTAATTTATTATATTTTTTGCAACTAATAAATAAACCAAATCTGATGTATTATGAACTTCTATAAAAGTAGTGATTAACAGAAAATATACACATTTAATATATTTGTCCATTGTGTAAAAGAAACATGTAATGTAATATAATAATATGAGTAAGTAATATTTTTGGACTTTGTTCGTCAATCATTCTTCTATCTCTTTTCCGACCTATATACATACCTATGTGTGTGTATAGGTATATTTATTTTATTTTATTTAAGTACTGAAAGAAATTTATTTTTTAAATACATATAGATACTATTTATAAAACTGATAATTTTTTTCTAATTTAAAAAAGATTCAGTATTTATTCAGGATTTTATTAGAACTGTATTATACAATTTATTCAATATTAAATATAATAATGGGAAACATACTAGGATTATACTTAATTTGTTACTTTGTCCTATTTAATGATTTAAATCTAAATAACAACTTGCATTTTATGTTGCTTAACGTTGCAGTTGAGTGAAAAAGATAATACAATTTATAATAAATTCTGAATTTATTACAAATATTAAATACATAGCAACACAATTTCAATAATAATATAAAAATAGCTTATGTTTTCCGAAGTGCATTAATTTTCTAATATGGCAAGGAATTAAATATGATGACTTATTGTATACAGTCTATATGAAGCGTATGTGTACAACTTAAAGAGAATGTGTGTACGTCTACTTATATCTAATAATAAGAAGTCTGCAAAACTAAAATGTATATCAATATGTATATCTAATAAAAATAAAAAGTATTAAATTTTTTTCGTAGATAATAAAAGTAATGTAACTAATTATCTCAAAAATATAGATTGCAATAGAAAAGTAAAAATAATACTCTTATCCATAGTTAAACACGGCAGAAAAAGACTACTTTGTACTATTTGATCAATATTCTATTCTATGGTGAAAAATATAAGTTTTAAGCTTCTTTGCAGTTACTGAAATTTGCTGAGGATAGCTTATGGATTATATTTTGTATATAATTTTCTAATAATCACAAAATCTTAGACACTAAAACTTTGTAGAAATACAGCAAACAGTGCATAAAATAGTAAAAATTAAAAGCAATGTATCTCATATAAGTCAACGTTTATCGATATAGTTAATATCAATATCGTGAATTATTAATTCAGTATAAGAAAATATATAAATTTTAGAGATAGATTTCTCTATCTCAAATATTTTTTTTGATTGTTGGTAACATACAAATGTCGAACTCAATTAACACAACAAAAAAGTATACGTTTCCAACGATACCGTTTGCGATTGGTATTTCTTCTTAAATCTGAATTACATGCGCTAATGTCCGAAATAGTTTCACTTAATAGAGATCCATGAACTGATACAGTCTCGTTATCTTGAAACCATTCTGGACTATTAACATATATCGACGAATAGTTGGATGGCTTATCAACTGCTATTTTAAGATTTGAGGTATTTTGATTAGACGCAGGTGCAGTATAAGTGGAAACTTTTGATTTGTCTTGAATAGGATTCTCATACACATTAATTTCAGAATCATTTTCACGATTCACAATTGCATTAGTGATTTTTATAGCACTATTGCTAGAATTACACAATTTAGCTTCTAAACTTGGTAAAGTTAAATTATTTTTTACAGATGACTTCTTTTCCGATATGGTTGTTTGAAACGGAGAAAGCGTTAATCGTATTTTGCTTAAAGCAAAGTCGCTTTCGTAAAAATTAAAATTGGGTGTTAATGGAGTTTGTGGCTCTTGTGTGTTTTTCTGAATTTCTATCTCCACATGTGACAGTATCTGTTTTTCCAAAAATATTCTAAACGTACGTTTACTTAGCTCAGCGTTTCTCAAATTGGTTCTACATCTTTTTTTGTGCAAAACGACAGAGTCATTGACATCTGTCGTCATTTTGGATGAGTGTGGTCTATAAAAAAAATTGGTGGTATCATGATGTCGATATAAAGAACAAAATGAAGGGCGATTGTTGGAAAAATCAAATATGCTTGTATCCTTACTATTAACGTCAGATGGATTCTGCTCAGTACAGCATTTATTTGAAAGGTAACTTGAATCGTTAAAGGTCTCAAATAAATTTTCTGCTGCCAATTGTCACTTGCATCCAAAGAAAGTCTGATCACTTTGTCTGCGATGTTGATATGTTAATGGCACAACTAGTCGGCTATCTTTACTCTTGTAGTATTCATTAAAATCTAATCGTACACTAAGTAACTGCAGCGACACATCTTCAGCGGAAGCAAGCATTAATAGAAATTTCTTCACACGATCCTGAAAGAAAGAATATATTTATCTTTTAAAAATGAAATAAACATATTTTTCTTTTTTTGAGAAAAGATACACTTGAAAAAAAAAGCAATTGCTCTTTACATTTTATTTTAAGGAATAATATATAAATTATTGCTCTATTTCGACAAAAGAATCATGTGGATAGGAAAATAATGACGATATTTTGGCTGCATTCCGATATTTACTGTCAGCAACTGTTAGTATTGAAAATCCATAGTATACGTGACATAAAATATAGAAAAATATAGATTTTCAGTACTGACAGCGAATATCAGAATGCAGCCTTATAAGAACAGAATTAATACTCCATTTGATTATTACCTGATAGGTTCTCGAAAGTAGTCTCAACTGTATTGAAAGTGTATTCAGATATTTTGAAAATGCTGCCTCTTTTTCTGCAATTTCTTGATCTTTTTTATTTGTACGACCCCATTTTTTCGTTTGTTCCTGCTCAAAATTATCGGCACTTAATCTTGCCTCATATTCCTGTGTAGCATGCGCAAGGAAAGATTCCTCGAGATTTTGGAGATCTAGTATTGGACTGTAGACTGAGCGTAAGTGGTCCATAAGTTCCTGTAACATCGGAAATAGTGTGCATTTGTAATAAAAATGTGCATTCGTATACATATATATTGTCATAAATATGATCTAATACTCACTTGCGATTTTTCATCCAATAATGTACCATGCCGTACAGAATCAACAAAATGACTATGAGCTGCAATTATATCATCAAGAGATGACGCCTGGAGAAGTTGCTTTGCAAATGTATCCCAAGAACATTCGATTACCTTTAATTAATATAAGTTTTTTATTTGTTAATATGCAATACATAACAGTTCATTCATTAAATTGCCCATTATTAAATTAATGGTGGTTCTTGATCATTAATAATAGTTTAATGTGACACGGTCTTACCTCAAATAAAAAATAATATTGCATTTGATGGACCAAATGAACCATACTACTAGTAATTAAATGAATATGATTCTGGATGGGCAATACTTCCGGCATTTTTCTAAACATTTTCGCTGACGTTGTCTGTTGCTTCCAAATAGCAGATAAAATCGACTCCATTCTCTTTGCTTTCCATAAAGCAAAGAAGACCGTTTGATACGTCTGTCTGCATGGCTCCAAAATCTGATAAATTATTGACCATGATTCATTAGGTTAATTTAACATAAAGATTAAATATTGCAATTAATGTATTTATTACCGTTCCTATAGGTCCATCAACATTATAATCTAGAATAAAGACGTCCCATCCTGTTTCATTTTCTGAAGGGGCTAATAGTCTGACATCTAAACGTTTTTGCACATCTAAATCATCTAACTTTGTGCTGGTTGCTCTTATTGCAGTTTCAAGTATAGATGTCATGTTATGAGGATATAAAGAACTTGCAGGTTTGGCTAATTCAGGCCTAAAATGTATAATCGAGACAATTTCTTAGATCTGGAATACGCATGCTAAAACGCAAAAATATTAATACAATTAATACTATTAACTGCATTAACAAGAAATATTCTTACTCTAATAAGTGCATAAGATGTTGAATAAAGTGGCCTTGACCAAGCAAGAGATATCCCTTAATCCCCTGCAAATGATCCATCAGATGATATTGTTTTGTCAATATTTCAACAACTCTTGTTGAAGTTTCTTTATAAGCAGCATCCATCATAGTTTGCAGACGACCGTCTGGATCCATATCGAAAAAGATTTCAACTAGAAAATAAATAATATAAGAATTAAATATCCTTCCAAGTTTGACGAAGCTATAACAATCTAATTGACATTAGCCAAAATTTTTATAACTTACAAATATTTTCAATGTATTAACGAGAAAAACGATAAATTAAAATCATCTTGTAACAATAATCATCTATCCATTATTACTAACCATTATATTCCTCATCACTATTCCTAAACATATCTGCGTGTCTATCTTGCCACGGTGAAAAGTCTTTACAAACTTCACGTAAGAAATTAATATTTTTTCCTGTTCCTAGAATCTTCCTCGCTTGTGCTTTACTAAGGAAGGATGGCACCATTGAATTTCTCACTTGATATTTCTCATGCCACATTCTGTCGCCACTAACATCATTGCACGCTTGAATAAAAAACTCCTTGTACGGATCGTCCAGCTCCCCATCAGCGATCCATCTCATTAACATGTTGTACAGGGGATTGCAAACACTTTCCAAAACTCTTTTGACTAAATTTTTCACAATGACATCCCCGTGATAGCTGAACTCGTAAACAGTAGATGCTAATGCACCACCTTTCTGGCCTTGGCAAGCTCTTACTATACTCGCTAACCACTTTAGAGTTTCTAACGGATCGCATGCCCAAAGATGTAAATGGGACAATGTAACTCCATATGTAATCATTTGATTTTGTGATCTGTTTCACAATTGTTACACTTATATTATTTTATAATATAAACAATATTATATCGTAAATATTCTTCAAGAGTATTTCAAGCAAGAAAAATATCGTTATTGGATTTATGAAGCAATGCAACTTTGTGGAGCTTATATCTTTGAAATACGATATTGTTATATGTTTAATTTCTTACCTATTCACCTCTTCTTGCATTATGGCTATGAATCTGTAATATTCTGACAGTTCCTTATGTAACGCAGCAACGAAACTATCGGTAACTCTGCCTGCACCAGCAACAGACATTCTCTCTAATCCTTTTCGTACTACGCTATGCAGGTATCCCAGTTCGCTCAGTCTTAAAACAGCTTGTTTTTGTGATCTATTAATTTTTGCTACGGGGTCTATCTGAAAGCCATAGCTGGAATCTAACTTTAAAATTTTCCCTTCGACACTTTGAAAGGAATATATCAAGTCCTGGACTAGTACATCTTCTGAAACGCACTCCTCGTTGAATATTTTACTTGGATTCGTTAATAATCCTTTCGAATTTGTCTCTGTGGTATTTAACGATACAACTTGTGCTTGAGAATATAACGTTTGTGACGATTGTCCTAAATATAAGAAACGATTAGATAATACTTTGACAAATGTCGATTGTGTTGATATCTTACCACTAGTGGACGCGACTGGGCTTAACTGCGATTTCATATCTGGAAACGAAAAGATTTTGTCCTTCATTTGTTCCACCGACTGGCCCATGTTCAGTAGGAATATTAGAACGCTCGTACGATTCTTCAGTGGCTAATGAAAGAAAGAAGATTGATATAAAAACATTTATCCAAAACAGTAGACATGAATGAATACGATTGAAACAAAAGACATGGAAAGATTTAAACCAGGAGATTTTGTACCCCATCTTTCAAATCATTGTGCAGCTTATCAAACTGCACTGCATCACGTGGCGATAATTTACTCTTTATATACGTTGCTACAGTCACTTCATCCTCTCTCAATGTTTCTATGCCTTGAGTAGACGACAATAAGCCAAGGGAAAAACGCATAAATCTTCTGATCGACTCTAAAAGACATGAAAAATATGTTGTAGCTTGTGTATCGCATATCTTTATTATGTTATGTTATCACATGTTAGGTGATATTTGCAAAATTATGTGTTATTATGTGTTACTTGTGAAAAATGTCCTAAAAGATCTGAACTGTTAAATCAACAATTCCAGGGCACTATGTATGTACACCAGAATTCTAATCTGTTCAAAAAGATTATCACTACTCGCGTCTGGATTTAAAGCGATTTAAAGAGCATCAGATATGGCAGAGACAAAGTGCGCCACCTCGGAGCTAATTAAATTTTCAGGAGTCTCAGGACGTTTTACATCTGTCATTCGACGTTCCTCGTTAAATCAGACGCGAGCAACGACTTTTTTGAGTAGACTCGTTTATTGAAGCATATTAATAACGCATAATCAGATTTTATGAAAAACGTCCGCCAGAGATTCTTACTCTAACTCTCTTCAAATATATTTAAAATGGTTATACGATATATACTTTTAAAAAGCTTATCATACAATACAATCGTAGTACGGTGCAAACGTTGCTTTATTAACAGAAATACGACGAGACATTAACAACGCCTAGTTGCATTGTTTAAAATAAATAACGCTGCGATTAATTCGCGCGAAATGACATATCGTGAATTTTTCTGAATATAAAATCTTCGGCAGTGGTACAACTTTGGGAAAACTAACCTGGCTTTTGTTCGCCGCACAGAGAAATAATCATATTCTGAACCAGGTCAGCAATAGTTTCGGCTTCCGCAGGATTCATGTTCGTGTTGTGTGACGCTCGCTATATATAATCCCGCTCGATATTATATCACGTACAAATAAAATATTTACTCCACCGTTCGACGGCCGTCTTGCGCCGTAATTTTAATCAAGCGGCAAATCGGGCAAATAGTAAATACGTACGTACGCGCATTTTCCTATTGTTCTCCTCGAGCTTAGAGAGAAGCTCGAGAGATCCGAAATTTTTGTGGAGCCCGTCTTCATTACGCCATCTTCATTCACTTCAACGTTAGAGGACTTCATAGTTCATGATTTGTCGGTATATACAATCGCCAGTTTTCCAAGCAATATTTACAATTTAATAGATTAAAAGTATACTTTGTACACACACAGTTTTAAATGCATTACCAAGAATAAACACACGAACAAAAGCATATATATAGGAAAATTTTTTTTAATACGCGGATAACTTTTATAGATTTATTTATGATCTCTTTAAAATTTATTATCTAAAAATATATCGCACTTTTCTTATAGTTTCTTAATTATAGTTTCTTAAATCATATTCTGCTCTTTTTAATAGTAAGAAGAATTTAAAAAATAATTGAAAGGATAATTTTTGTGTTTTTTACAAGAAATAAAGTTTAATTGAGGAAATAAAAAAGCTGTCAAATCATTATGCAGTTCCCTTCAATTATCTGAATTTCGTATCTATTATAATCGTTAATAATCGCACGCTAGCCATTTTGTCTCTTGGAAAAAAAAGGAATTATCATATTCTGCGATAAGTGATTTTTCATTTATTCGTGATTATAGTCCCAGTCTACAATAAGTGTTTTAAGCCCTAAGCCTTAATATAAGAAATTGTTCAATTATAGTTGAATTTGAGGAGAATAATTGACTGTGATTAGTCAATTTCTTAGAAGGCTTAGGGCTTAAAACACCTATTGTAGACTGGGACTTACTGTGTACATAAAGTGTATTGCCAAAGGACACGAATAAAACATTAAAATTGTTGCATAATGTTAAATACAGAGAAAGATGTCTTCATAAGCTGTAAAGTAAAATAAATAGTTAGTATAAGACATTATATCCCAGGTAGTAAGATGACGTCTGATTGACGTCTAGAGAGGTCTCTAGACGTCATTAAGACGTCATTTGACGTCACTCTGCTACTGGGGATGTATATGCATTTGAGGAATCTAACATTAAAAGTAAAACTACAATATTAAAGTAGTCACTGCATATGCACTGGTGTGTAATTTTTTTTATAAAAATTGTTTAAATATAACGGTGCATTTTCTGAGACTTTTCTGCTGACTTTCGTTGCAATACGTAAATGATTAAAGTGATCAATTTACTGTCCCCCTTTATCTTCTTGTTTATGTGCATAATGTACGTGCATAATTAATAGAAATTAATCATCGGTAGTTCTGGTTTTAATTTTAATACTTACATTACTATACGATTCCAACGACAATGTCACTAAAAAACTGCTGGACAATTTTATAGGTTTCGTGCTACGCTTCATAATCATCAACAGATCCTTTTGTTCGCTATTTGTCATCAGTACCCAGTCCATGTTATATATCTTGTCGCCAAATCCAGCACTCTGCGCAAACAATAATGATTAAATTGTCTAAATAAATAAATTGTCATTAGAAATTGTTATCATAAAAATCTTCCAAAGCATTGTTTTTTGTTCAAATATATCTTTATAGACTACCTTAAGTGTGACTTCGTTTCCGGCCCAGCAATAATAAAAAATCTCCATAAACATGCAAATTATGTAGCTGGCTAAAGTAGCTATATCTGTAACTGTCATGCGAGGCACACTGTATACTAATGTACATAGTACTAAAACACTTTTACTAAATTGAACGAAGATCACTTGGCTGAATACATCGTTAATCATTTCGGCAAGTCTATAAATATTTATGTATTGTTATACAAATTGCATATCGCGTTACAATTACAAATGATGTATAGAGCATATATATAGCTAAAAAGTTGCATATATAGAGTATCCCATTTTAAATGATCACCCCTCCCCTCAAATTTTCATTTTTTTTTCAATTTTAGAAGAAAATGTTTCTCTGTGTATGCAGCTATATTACATATATACAACTAAAAAGTTATTAAGTACAACGTATTGGGACATACGAGATTATTACAGAAAGGGAGTGTTCTAAGGTACATCAAGCTACTGTACCTTGAAACAAAATTTCCAATTATAAAAAATTACTGTATTCTCTTACCAGATGGTAATAAAAATTTAGGGTTTTTCATACTAAAAAAATATATATATGTATTGGGTTGGCCAATAAGTCCGTGCTGTTTTTTATAAGTAAAATTTATAAGTAAAAAACCGCGCGGACTTATTGGCCAACCTATTACTTTTTAATAATATATTTTTTAATTAAAACTGTGGCTCAGAAAAACTTAAAAGTGAGGTACAGCACCTTTCCCTGTATATCTGAGTGGAGACACCAAATAATGTGGAGATCACCTTTATTTTTTAAAACAAAATTGTAACTTTTTTGTAATTTTTTTTGTAATCTTTGTTATAAGGTTATAAGAAATTATTTTTGTAATTTTTGACATAAGAAATTTAACGACCTATAATATTATTCTTGAACTATATATATTTTCAAGATCATCCGCGCGTTAGACAATGCAAAATAAGTCTGCGCAATATTCTAATTTTAATTGCTCGCATCACTTGTATTTGTTTTATATTACTTTTATTTTGATTGATTTAAGATATTTTATAAATTGCCATTTTCAGACACAAAATAAAGTGCAACTAGTCGAGTCGCCAGGTCGATTGAGCATTTTTTTCGACTAAACTTGATTTTTAAAGAATTAAACATCTGCTAGCACGATAGACGAAATATTTTTGCTTGCAGATTTACATTCCGTTAACAATCATCTAATGTACATATCGAGTATTATTTAACATATTTATTTAATACATACATAAAGTAACTATTATCCATTTGACAAACCTGATTATACATAGATGATGGGAAACGTGTTCCGCTAATCTACTCGTTTTATTCGATATATTCAACGAACTTGTCAGGGTGTCCTCCTCTTTCTTCTCATTATGTGAGAATTTTATCATTTTCTGAAGGCGATGCTTCAGAATTTCGAATTGTGCGCATGTTTGTAAGCAAAATCCAAATACTACGGTATCCGACGCGAGGATTACAATTATGGCAATAATTAGAGATACAATCAGTTGAACAGACGTTAAGAACAGTATAAGAAACGAGGTGCAATCCCAAGGTACCCACACAAAGTACCCAAATGGTATCTGGCCCTCTAACACATATAGCGTTCCTCTTATCGCACAACATATCGCCGACATCGAGCACACAATTATATAAGGCATAGAATATGATCTAGATTTCAAAAATACATAATAAATGTATAATAATCGGTATATAATAAAGACAGACAAAAATTATCTGAAAATTATGCAAATTGAATAACACTCCCAGAGTCCCCATAACAAATTTTCATATACAGGATGTCTAATTAAGTAACTGACCAACCGAAAGGTAATGGTAGATTAAGTCAAACTAAAAAGAAAATTCCTGTACCATTTTGCAAAATTCGCAATAGTTATTGAGTAATTAATTCAAACGTCTGAACACATGAGAAGCAGTCGGACTCGGTCATGTCACAGTATGGGTTTTTCACTGAGACTTAAGCAGTAAGCAAATTGACCAATAGCTTATCTTATAAAGTTTCCGAGAATACTTGACTGTGATTGATCAATTTGATCATTGTTTAAGTCTTACCGCTTAAGTTTTTCTATGTGCTATGGCCCTATCAGATGATGCTCACCGTTGACAGACCTAATAACTAAACCATTTCACATGTTGACCGAGTCCGGTTTACCGCATTCCACACGCACATTGGTTCAAACAGTTTAATTCATTGCTCATAATAACTATATTGTGAATTTTGCAAAATGGTACATGACTTTTCTTTTCAATTTGTATGTATTCTCGACTCACTTATCGATTTAATTATTTACTGTAAGTCGTTGACAATCGTATCAGCGCTTAAATATACCAACCTGATTAAACGATCGAATTTCATCTGAATATCAATCTCTTCCTTATCGCAGGCCTTGCAGGGTTTTTCTTGCAGTATTTTGATCAAATTAATAATCCGATCGCGATAGATTACAATAGTACTCGCTTTAGACAATAAGCCGATTAGATCAAGGGAAACATAGCAACACGAGATCAAGTCTGCTAGGTTTTTGACAACAAAGATGATATACATCAAATGAGTCAGGCACAGATACATCAACATATATATCCCGAAGAAACTGAACCCGCTATATAGCGTCTTGGAGCATTTCGAAGACCATTGAACTGGTCGCCACAAACCAGAGATGGTAAATAATAAGAAATTGAAAGAGAGTATCTGTATTTTCATAGTTGCTACAATCAAAAGTGATAAATTTTCTTATATTTATTTAAAAAAGCAATCTTAAAAATGGCCTCGTGCCAAGTATTTTTACTACGTAGCGACAAATTGTACGAAATCTTCAAATAAGAGTTCCCAGATTTCTTCTTCATAATTTTTTAGGGTTTACATACAGCTTATTCAGCCCTATCTTCTTCGAAATATGTTCCTTCTCGGTTGACACATCGCTCTCAATGCCGTTTTCACTTCTGGAAGCAATCCCGCATTTTTCGAGATATAAGTCCGTCTATACGAATTTTCCTTGATGTCGAATCCTTTGGCTTTTCAACGTGAATTTTGTAAAAAAAAAAAAAAAAAAATAAGTTTACGGGGGTCAGATTAAAAAAGTGATGTCAACCGAGAAGGAACATATTTCGAAGGAGGTAGGGCTGAATAAATTGTAAGTAAACCCTTAAAAATTATAAAAACAAAATTTGGAAACTTTTTGAATGGATCTTGTACATGACATTGCAGTATGTATTTTATGGGAACACTGTCTTTTTTTAAAAAATAATATTTAAATATATTTAAATAATTATATATTCAAATATATAAAAGACTATTTTGCAAAAATATTTCTGTAAACTTACTTTTTGTATATAACTTTATGCGGTATGCTTGCTTTGTGCGAATAGCTTATAGTTAACGTTGGTAACAAAATGGAATCAAGTAACTACTAACATTTGTATCAATAAACAAAGTTATATAGTATCATGCGTGACAAAGGTTCGTAAGGCACTACGGATAAGCGCGTTTGCGTCAACTTCGTCATCCCTATACAACTTAAAATTAACAATCTGTTAATAATTTGACGCCGCGGAAACTTGTCGGTACCTTACTACCGGTATCAAAGTTTTAATTATACGTAATGTAACGATGTCATGTCATACAATTGAGAAATGTAATCCGCCCCCGAGAAATTCCAACATATTGTCGTGTTCTCAGGGAGTGAAATACACTTTCGTGTAGGCATCTATTATAAAATTCTCGCAAGTAACAGCATGACATTAATAAGTATTCGAGTGAATCAACATCTCTTTTTCACATTTTCTTCCAAGAATTATGATAATTTTATAGAGGAGAAAATTATACCAGTTGATTTGCCAGGGGCGTGTTCGCTGCGTGTTCCGCGTACGTCGTTCTATAATGTCTCTGTAATCATTAATAAATAATCTATATTACGATGTTTGCAAGAACGACTAATATTCACCCTCCAGCATTGTCACGTATAATTATATGTCTGCGTAATGCTATATTTATCTCTTGCACATTCGGCTGAAAACAAGTGTATTTACCTGTCTCGATATCGTCATCTTCTCCTGCTCGTTGAAGAGCCTCTATTTCATAATAAATAAGGGCGTTCAGTATACAAATTCTCAATTCTCTCTATATTCTACCCCTCTTATTCAAACAACTTTATCGTTGAACTTCGAACGTATACACTTCTTAAATAATGGTTCCATTACAAAACGATCATCGTTGACAAATGGACATCAGTAGCATAGGAAATATTTGATCACCTAAAACTGATGCGAAATATATATCGCGGCAAAAAATGATAGACGTGTACGTTCCATTCCTCGATTCCCGAATATGCATGTATATTACAATAAAATGTACACATATATTTGAAATACGTATGTAAAATTATAGATAAAACTCTTTTATATTTGTGCATGTATTATATTTCTTAAATATAGATAAATCGCGCAAAAATATCTGTTCCGCGTAAACAGCCACCGTCGCCTCGATATCTCTCACGTACTGACTGTTACTACGTTTACGCGAGCGTTACTTCTGTAGTAACTTACGATACGTCCTTCGCGTAAACGGGATTTTGTAGTAACTTACGATACGTTACTCCGCGTAAACTAATGATATATCGTAAGTTACTACAGAAGTAACGCTCGCGTAAACGTAGTATGAGGGAGTTACGTAATCGCCAGGCTAATGATCACTACGTGTTAGCGATATATAACACGCGTTTCGAGAGACAGCTACGTCGACCAGACACCACCGAGACAGAACGTAGAGAATACAGCCAGTTAAACCTGTGAAAGTTAACGAAAAATTCGGCATACGTTGATCTCTTATTGTTCGTTGAAAGTTTTCGGTATTTTTGAACCGGCCGCGGCCGCGCGCGTCGTGCCGCTTAGGAGGGGTAGGCCGTGACGTCATGCGCCGCTCCGCGCCGCCGGCGCGGCGGATCGATACGGTGACGGTGACGTAGTAGGCAGTGTAGGCACCTGCGCAGTCCGTACTAGCGACGCGACCGTTAAATTCGAAAGCTCCGTACTTTGAAGATCGGCGCGTTTTCGACGTTGTTTCTGGCGATGAGCGGACTTGTCACTTGTTTCCGTCAACGCTCGGAGTAGTGTTACCTGCGTGAGTGACTCAGTTATCATTCTTCCGAGGAATTTCGCACAGGTAGGAAGTGTTTGTGCTCCGCGCGCGCTCGTCACCGACGTCACCGTGCTTCGTGCTGTTTTCGGAACGCGCTCGTTTCGGTGATTGGCATTCCTGCTTCCTCGTTTCGAGGGCCGCGGGAATAATCGCTACGCGATCGAGTACCGCGCGCCGTGTGCCGTGTGCCGTGTGTGTAAAACAATTTACGAGTGTATGAGGTGTTTATCGGAATGAACGTGTCGCGCGACGCGCTCACTCGAGACGTCGAGGCGGAGGTATGTATGAACTACTTGCTTTGCAGTTTCGCGCTGTGATATTCGCGAGTGATAGTCGCTCCTCTCGCCATGTCTGGATTCGCGAAGTGCGTGGCATTTATTTATCTCGTGTCGTGCTTTGAACGCTGACGTGCCGGACGTGTCGTGTGATTTAGCTCCGATTCTCTCCGTAAGGAAAAAGGGCTGAGTGATATTGATCGTGTCAAGTAATTCCGGTGATTCGATCGGTGATAACGGAACGCCGCGGCGCCGCGATACATCGCCCGTTCGTGAATGCTTCACAATCTCGGATTCTCATATATCTCGCGTCGCGTAAGATTAGCGGCCGGCAGTCACGCGTCTTCGTTGTGCATATTATAATAATGTAGTTATACCTTCGCGAGATTTACGAGTTTGATACCGTACGTACTGTGCATGAGTGCGATATTTAATTTCAACAGCGTATCTCTGATTAACGAAGTGCGTGTCTTTATTAACCGTCCGCTCGACTTGCGTAGTATCGCCGGTAACGCGGTGATGATCGTGGAACGACGCGGAGCACGCGGC